TTTAAGGTGGTACCAGAAAGCATGTCCAATGTCCAATATTCATCCAGTGACACTAATGGAGCCCAAACTCGGCTCAGTTTGAATAAATCACCTTTAAGTTGGTAAACAAAACCACCAGGAGACAGCTTCCTGTCAGTGTGCTCCTCTCTGCCTCCTGTCAGACCTCTGTCACCTTCACACCTGCTCGTTTGTTTCTGCAGCCGCCCTCCAGTTGACGTGCATTATACATCAGAGACGTGCCCTCTTGCCGCTTATCAAAACTTCCACTTCACGCCCTCCTCGCTCTGAGATCCAGAGCTGAGCAGCTGTGGAGTTGCCGTCCCGCTGCTGACACTGATCTCTGACTTCTCTGTGGAAGCCAGTCTTTAATTTGAGGCGGTCAGAGTGAAGCTGTGCTGCTTTTAGGAGTTGAGCAGATTCACCTTTTATCTAAATGATACATGACACGCATCATGTAAGAAAACAGGAAATCTGAGCGTGTCCAAAACCTGTCTGTTGAAAGAATCTTTCCAAGCACCAATCAACAAGAGCACATATTTCGATTTTACCCAGTAGAGCTGGCGGATCAGTGACTGGCCAGATAAATGAGACCATTAATGAGTGGTTATTTACAAAGGTTTGCATCCCTTGGCACAAAAATTGCAATCATCATCATCACCACCACCACTGATTCCGAGTCATTAAAACCCAGTGTGGTGTATCAGACAGCCTGATGTGCCAGAGCTGCACATTCATGAAACTCTGACAACTTTGTTTTAGTATTAATGTGACCAACACGTCTTTAATGACCCTGCATGAGCTTTAAAGGAATAATGGTGCCATTACTGATACCAGATTAAGTTCATATATTACAGTGTGGTATCATTACAGACCTTGAGTTCAGCTGGTTTGGATCGCGTTGGGTCAGTGTGTGTGTGTGTGTGCAGTCCCTCCATGATGTTTCGGACAAAGACACGTTTGTCTTTGAGGGAGCCCTCTGCTCACAGTGTGGAGGTTTCACTCAAACACACTGAGCAGACACAATTAAAACACACAGTCCTCACTTTAAAGTCAGTCACTCTCATACACAGTCCCCATCAGTCAGGCCATCCCAGTGTTTGGGATTCCTCAGGTGGGCTTTATTCATGCGCGGACTGTCATTGGCTCCCTGAATTTAAATCTGCAGCAGGACAAGAGAAACAAGAGCGTTTCTCCAAGCCAAAACAAGGGGGCTGAAATCAGTTGACTTAAATCCAACTGAGCATGAAACTTCAGTTTAATTCAATTTATTTCATTTATTTAGCATCAATTCACAGCAACAGTAACCTCAAGATGCTTTATATTTAAAGGTAAAGAACCCACAGTGATTCTGGTCACGGCAGATGGCCCCGCCCCTCCCTGAGCCTGGTTCTGCTGGAGGTTTCTTCCTGTTAAAAGGGAGTTTTTCCTTCCCACTGTCGCCAAAGTGCTTGCTCATAGGGTGTCATATGAGTGTTGGGTTTTTGTCTGTATGTATTATTGTAGGGTCTACCTTACAATATAAAGCACCTTGAGGCAACTGTTGTTGTGATTTGGTGCTGTATAAATAAAGTTGAATTGAATTAATCAGGTAGCCCCCTATGAGCAGCTTTAACAGAAAACAGACTCTGAATATACAAGCATGTCTGTCAGGGAGTTTTTAATGTTTTATTTGCTTATGCTTCAAAAGTTATGTTATACATATTTCACCAGACAGTTTTCTGTAGAAACAGGAAGCTGACCCTGTGACACTGACAAGAGACCAGCACAGAAATACATATCCGCAGAAGTTGACTTGCATTATATTATTCTTAGAAATTGACCTGCAACACACATACTCTGTGACACACACACACACACACAGCTTGCATGCAGACAGACATCAGGACCTGCGTAACAGGAAATGTGATTATATTTGCATATTGACGATGTAACCTATAAAAATAAACGAATACTTCAGTTCGGTGTGATTTGCTCTGAGCTTTTCACCCGTGCAGCACGTTGACCTACACAAGTGTCTCATTGTTGTTTATTCACCTGACTGTTTGTTAACTGTAAATCTCTGACAATGTCTGTGCCCAGTTTCTGGTCCTGTTAGTAAAACAGTCGTGTTGACGCAGATCCACTCACTGTGATTTAACAGCTCGTACTGCACACACACACACACACACACACACACACACACACACACACACACACACACACACACACACACACACACACAGCCTAAACCTAACCATAACCTAACTGTAACCCTGACACTAAGCCACATTCTGAGCCTCAAAGATGCCTTCAAACTTGGGCATTTGGTCCCCATAAGGGCTGTTAGTCCCCACAAGTATAGTAAACGTCCAATTTTTGGACACACACACAGAGGATCATTTCTCAGCACCGTGCTGGGCGGAGTCTCGAGACATATAAGAGGTGCTCCCATCGACATGATTAGCATAGATTTCCTGTTGAAACCAGCTCGCCTGACACTTCATGAAGCTGGAGTGTATAGACTTCATCTGTCCCTGTGACTGAGGGATCCTGAGAACAAGCCCCTCCCTCCCTCCCTCCCTCCCTCCCAGGCACAGTTTCTATAACAGTGTGAAAAGTTGACCTTCAGACGCTCGGCTGTGGGTCTGCCACACTCGGGGTCCTTCATACTCGGCCTGACCTCAAGTCTATGCAGCTCTGCATGCTGCCGGGGGAACATCCTGCTTTCACTCACACTGGAGATCAAGAAGACAGTTTACAGGAAGGTTGTTTTTTTTTTTTTTAAATATAAAGATGCTTAAAATGTTCCTTGAACATTTGATTAAAACATTTTATCACAAACATTATAACGATCATTAGAAATTTCTAAACAGTTTCTCCTTTTTAAGGCCTGAACATGATTCACTGAGATACAGAATTCAGTTAAGCTGTGTGATTAGACTCTGATGAGCCATCAAAGCAGAGCCACATCCTCAGGAGTGTAGACAGTTGTTGGAGGCTTGGATGGTTCTCTAGGGACCTGGAGGAGGTGGAGATGGGGAGGAGGTGGGCTGCATGAATAAGAATGACATCAGAGGAGTGAGATTAAAGTGAAAAGGGCAGTTGGTTTGGAGCAAAGAACAGAGCACCAGGCAGATGAGTGATCACATAGCTTCATTACTGAACACATGAGCTTCCGTCTGAGGTCCAGTTTGCCATCACTGTGGGAATGTTTCCTACTGGCTGGGGTGTCGGATACAGAGAGGAAGAACCAAAAGAAACCAAACTCAGTGTCTGACCCACGGGAACGGCTGCAATAAACTTCAGAACCAGGTCAAACTGAAAGTGCAATTCCCACCTGAGTGCAGGCTGCAGGCTGACTAACAGATGAGCAACGAGCCCAACGGCCCTGTGGCTTTAAAGATTTGCATGCAGGTGATTTCTGTCAGGTAAATATCCACTCCTGGAGTCTAGTCTGGAAAGAAACAGTGAACTTGTCAAAGTGCGGGCTCTGCTGCTGTTTAACTTACCAGTCATGTTATTTCTGTGACCACCTGTTGAAAAAGCTCCAGTTTGTTTGAAAATGGGGAACATAGTGTACACCTAACTTAGAAGCTTTCTCTGGAGCTTTCTGGATCTATCCTCAGATCCTGATGGGGAAAAAAACACAACCCCCCAAATCTGAAACGTGTAGGGATTAAAAACAAAGCTCAGGTGGAGCTCCTGTGGTCGTGCTGCAGACATTTAAATTGCTTCCAGGCGTGGATTCCTATACAAATCTGTAACTTTACACTGATGATATGTGTGCACTTGTGCAGTCCAGACCATATTGGCTGCCTCCTCTTTTATATTAAATACATTATATCCACCTTTTATATTATATCCAACTTGGTCCTTCTCCAAACACCAGTGAAAAAGTACAGCAGGAGATAAGGTCTAAATGATGACGTCAACTTTCCTCTTGCTAAGTAAATGCTGTGTTTTACAGTAAGAGCCATGCAGACAGGTTAATGGGAATAAAATAATTAAAGGACCTGCCATTTAAATCTGCTCTTTTCATTCAAAGGAGCAGATTTCTTCCATACTGACTTCTCTTCATCGGCTCCCTGAATTTAAATCATGCTTCTCACATACAAGGTCTTAAATAATCAGGCCCCATCTTATTTTAATGACCTTACAGTACCATATCACCCCATTAGAGCACTTACCTCTCACAGGTTACTTGTTGTTCCTAGAGCACTTAAAAGTAGAATGGAAGGCAGAGCCTTCAGTTTTCAGGCCCCTCTTCTGTGGAACCAGCTTCCAGTTTGGATTCGGGAGACAGACACAATCTCTACTTTTAAGATTAATTTCCTTTTTTGCTAAAGCATATAGTTAGGGCTGGACCAGGTGACCCCGAATCCTCCCTTAGTTAGACTCTCTTTTCTCTCTCCTCTGTGCTCTCAGGTGGCCGCAGCCCCTCCCTGAGCCCGTTGGAGGTCTCTGCTTTTTTCCAGGTGCTAACATCATTACCTGGAGTACATCATGTACCTGACATAGCCACATGCCATATTCCTGGATTCAACAGGATCAGAGGTTTTGATGGAAAGGTGCGACTGCTTTTTCAGACATATACAGCCCACCGTCCCATAATGAACCTTAGTGCGAGGTGTTCCTCTGGTGGCCACTGATGCTATGTGTGTTCTGACACCGGCCGTCTGAGCTACAGCAGCTCGTCTGTTGGGTCAGAGCACACGACCCAGCTTTTGCTGCTCCACCCACGACCCCGTCACCGGTTTACCGCCAATACTGACCCCTGCAGAAGAGGAACACTTCAGAAGAACTGCAGTTTTGTAGGAAATCCTCACACTCACGCATTTTTCCGACTTCTAACGTCAAGTTTTAGGACACATGGTTGACCTGCTCCCTTGTCTGCAGCTTAACGCGAAGCACTCTAATTGCAGGAATTTTGCGTGAGCAGTAGGTGGGGCAAAGAAATTCTGAAAGCACGATAAACACAACAAAGAAGTCTGACCTTTATTAAAATAAAAACAACCTGCAGCCGGGATTTCTTTGCAATTTTTAATACTTTTTCTCGAACGATTACACAGATCCTTGAGTCGAGTAACAGAAAGCAGAAGATCCAACTCCAACAACCTCGACAATGTTCAAAAACAGGTAAAGAGATTTTTGTTCAGAAAACCTTTAATCATTAATAGAATTAGTAGTATGACATATTTCAGTAAATATTTAGATATATACAGATACAGCAGAAACGGTACATTCTTTTTTTTTTCTCTTCAAATTGCTTCACATTTTTTTATACAAGCCAAAATATCTGCCATTTTATTTATATTCATGCAAAATATTGATTCTCAGATTAATGAAAAATAAAAAGGATTTGCTGAACTTTTTTTTTTTTTTCATTCTGCTCTGATGTGCACGTTCAGATTATAAGCGTCATAATGAGCATAATTGTAAGTTCGGCAAACGAAACAGGTGCACTTTGTGCCAATACACGAGAGAAGCAACTAAAGCAAAATTAAGGCCATTCCAACTTGTGCAAAGAAAGTAAATAAATAAATAATAAGAAGAAGAATCGTCATAATAATGTTTCCTTTAGTTCACAGCAGTTCGAGAGTCTCTGTTTTTTTCTCCTTCTGCCTCGGGGTCATCGGGTTGTATAGTACATACAATAAAATACAAGAGAATCAAACAAACCCTGCAAAAGCCCGTGAATCATTAATCATCGGCAAATCAAACCATGCTACTTTAAAATCCATAAACGTCTAAAAATGCATCCCGCTCTCTCATCCTTCTGTCAGTTTGCATCACATCGCGATGCAAAACCAACCCACAGTATCCCCCCTCTGCCCCCCAAACCCACAGAGAACAATGATTAATACGACGGCATGAGGCCTGACAAAAAGCTCTACAACAACTATGACACGCACGAGACCCACGCCTGAGGGGAGGGCCGTAAATGCTGGGAAATGGTGGTTGAATGGATGCACGATATGCTTCTAGGTCCTCTTTTTTTGTTGCATATTCAACCCCCATATGGCACGAGAAGATGTGCATGTGTATGTAAAACAGGCGACTGATGTCCTTGTGTTTTTGGCACAGAAGATAAAAGGAGCCGTCCTAATCAGATTGAGCCGGCTGAGGTTTCCCACCTGGGTGCAGGCCGTGACCACAGAGGAGGCTTCACTGCAAACAGAGGCCATCAGAGGCGGTTTGCATCATACGTGTCGCTCAGAGGAGCTGCCAAGTCTACAAAATACGATTTTCCTGGCGAGCGTGCACGGATCTATAAGTTCATTTGCTGGGAAGAGCTGCACCTCAAGCTCTATTATAAAAGATATTTTAAAGTTTGTTGTGTGCCTCACCACGACTGAGCCAGGTGGACTAAAAGTCGAACACTTCCATTTAAGACAGCGTTGATTTGTCCCTGTACACAAATATAAAATATTCCTTTCAGCAGCACTAAACGGTTTACTTTTTAAGTACTGCACCTGCTTGACTAACCCGTGTAACTGAAAGAGTTTATTACCTGGAATTAGCTTTAAGGTGATTTCTGGAGAACTTTGGTCAAACCAAGAACGCTGTGTGAGAAGCATCGCAGCAGCCTTTGAAAGGCCCAGTGAGCTTGTTTTGCTTCGTTGCTCCCACATACATGAATAGCAGAGAAGTACAAGTGTGACTTTGGACCTGGGTGAGGTCTTCATTTAACATGCATATTTGTGGGTTTTCAGAAAAAACACCACCTTTTTACTTTCCCTGCTTGAACCGTCTGATCTGCTCTGAATCTGAATCCGTGCCCACATCTCTGAAGGTGTAACGATAAGGAGGGTGAGAGGGTGAAGGCGGGGATTCGACCGGAGCTCACGGAAACACAGCCGCGCATGTGGAAATAAAACGGCCTCTGTAAGTAACCGAAGCACCTCTGAGGTCCCAGCTTTGAGCAGTTTTCCTTTTCTGGGAATGATTCGGTGAATGAGATGCATAGTTTGGACTGAAGCAGATTTTATGGCACTTCCATTTTAAAGTCAGAACAGGCTGGGATCATGTGAGCAGAGGGAGAGGTGGAGCATAGCCCTTCGGATTGCTCGCAGTGTACTTTGAGACAAAGCGAATGATGTAAATTAAAATCTACATCAGATGTTCTGTAAAAGACACAAAACCCAAATTAGTTTTAAGGAATCCCTTTGCTGCGGATTCATGGATTAAACAGCAGGAGGAGAGAAATGAAGAAATCATCCAAATGAAAATATTGTTTTGTATTTCTGTCTCTGAGGATAAAAGGAATATGAAATTATAGCCTCTTAAATCATATTTTTTCTCACAATGCAGAGTTGGACAGCGAAATGTTTGTTTCAGTTAACAGTGGAGATGCACTTTGTGCCAATCTCCCCATGTCTGATATTTAGACCAAAACAAATAATCCATGTTTTATTGTCAGAGCGAGGAAGGTCTAGCTGGCTGGTTGACTTTCAGCTGGTGGCTCACTGATCAGAGGTTATCAGAGGAATAATCGGAAATATTCATCCGCTCTCTCTAAGACTCTTACAGTATGTCTGTGGACTGGGACAGAACCAGGAAACACAAACTATAATATATAATAGCTACATCGGGCTAATTTAACCAGCGCACAAGCTGGAATTTAATAAAATGTTTCTGACTGGGCAGTGCGGCTGAGCCAGGCCTCCCGGTGTCTCACAAAGAATCGTCGACGTGCTCCTTTGAGGTTTGGCTGCAAAGGCAGGTTTTTGTGTAAGAAGCAGAAAAAGATAGTGTGAGACTGATTAAATGTTTGCAAAAAAAAAGAACATTGCACATCACAGCCTGTCAGAGTTCTCACTGCACACACATCATCACTCTCCTCCTTCCACCTCCTTCCTTCAGATTTCTAGTTTAAAACATACACACATATATATTTATATATATTTTTCTCCATCTACTGATCCGTGTGCATTGGGCAGAAGTGCCTGGGCAGTTTGCAACACCTTTGTCTCCATTCTGACCAATAAGCATGAAAGACCTTTTTTCACTGTCTGCAGCGGGATGTGGATGAGGGTGCCAAGACGTGGGAAAAATCATATTTGCATATACTGATCATTGCATAGAGAAGCCTGGTGCAAAGTACAAGAAAAAAAAACGAAACAAATAAAATCATTAGTCACACTTATGAAGCCTCAAATGACGAATCCCCTCATCACAGCCTCTGCATGTGGATGGCGGCGTAGCTTTATGAGGTTTGCAGCTACAGTCGGTGCATACGAATGAGGCGGGAATACAGTTAATTAAGGTAACATATGTCCTCTCGGCTGGGGAGCGGGATGGGCGGCGTCACGTTAAGGCGGGGTCAAAGCAAGGAAGCACTACTGGAGATGTAAACGTATCTGTGTGTTGCTACGTCCTCGCTCGAGTAGTTCTCTGTCCGCTTTCACCAAAGCAAAGCGAAATCTCAAAAACCCAGGAGCCTGCGAGGCGACATCAGCTGCTGACATCAGAGCGCACCTCCTTCCTGCGTGTCAGAGCGCCGCAGGAGCCACGTGTTGAGTCGGCACAGAAATTCATTAAGAAACAACCGAAAAAACAGAAATGAAGGACAGGCAGAGGAACACGCTGAGCACGGATAAATGAGATAGTTTGTCCCATGTCGTCCAGTCGTGTGATTGACAGGTCGGTTCAGTTTCACGGTGCTTGATGGCAGCGGGAGCAAGGGGGAGCTTTGAGGAGTGCTTGCAGTACACATTTGAAGCAAATCTCGATATACAGAAAGCGCGACCTTTGCATCGCTTTGTTCAATGGAAGCACCGATCGGCCCGCCTTCTTTTCTTTTCTTTTTTTTGGGTGAAAAATCCTTTAAATCCAGACGCCCACCTGTGGAAACAAACATCCTATTTTTTCCCAGTTATGATAACATATATGAGTATATTACACTGCTCTCGCACGACCCACCCGTCACATAGCATTATATCTGTCGTCACACAAAAAGCTAAAACACAACATTTCTTTTACAAGCCTCGCTTGTTCAGTCCGACTGCTCCCACACAGTTTTTGCTGGGATGCCTGCAAAAGTTGAACTTTTCGTTTCTTGAATATATTGCCACATTCATATATCATGCATTTTACTGCATTGCTATTGCACCGGTCCGGATTATTCAGGAGCTGGAAGGAGACGGGAACGGGGCAGGTTTCAGGGTAGGAGAGGAGATTAAAGGAAAAATAAAGCAATAATAAATATTTGAAATCGTGTCTGTAGGCGTCAGGTGGTGCCATGGTGAGCGACCGCCACAAAGAAAGTGACTTTCCTCGACCAAATGAAGGCGAAGGAAGAGGAAGAGGAGAGAACGCTCGGTGGAAAAAGGGGCAACAGATCTTGTACCGAAGTCAGCGCTCTGTTTCCTTTTCTCTGTCTTCTCCTCTTCGCACCGTTCTCCTCCTCGTCCTCCTCCTCAGCTCTCCACTACTGCTTGTGGATGTCCTCGCTGCGGATGATCTTGTAAATGATCCAGTAGAAAATGTTAAAAATGAGGAAGACGAGTGGGAAGGCCACGCGGGACACCGTGTCGATGCGCTTGGCCCGACTAATGAACAGCTTCTTCATCTCCTCGATGCTCTTTTCGGGTGCGGCCGAGGTCGGGGCATTGTTGTTGTTGCCTTTGATGGCCATGCCGTCCTTAGCCTGCAGGCAAGCGGGGCCCATGCCGTAACCGGGGAAACTGAAGCGGCCCTCGCCCGTCTCATCCTCCTGCAACACAGGCCAAGACTCAGGCTGTTAGGAACCAGAGAAAGACGTTACTGTTGAGAGGTGTGTGTGAGTGAATTTCAGAGATGTGCAGTCATGCAAAACAAATAACTGATGACGTGGAGTGAAAATGAAAAGCGAGGAAGTGAAGTACTTTATCACATGACCGTGTGTCTGAATAAACCAGAAATTTAAGGTGGAATTAGCGTCTCATTCTCAGCTGGCTGTCTTAATTAAAATAAAGAGGAAAAGAAGAATATGTGTATATATATATATATGTATGTATATATATATATATATGTATATATATATAATGTATGTAGAGAGAGAGAGAATATAGAATATTTGATTCATCTCTGTGCAATTCCATCCTGTTAAGAACAGCGAAAACTACCCCTGGTTTGACCCCTGAATGTTCCCTTCATGCTAATCTTCTTGCACGCCCTTGGACAGAGATGGGCAGTAACGCGTTACTGTAATCCGATTACTTTTTTCAAGTAACGAGTAAAGTAAGGAATTACTATTGCAAAAACAGTAATTAGATTACCTTTACTTTCCCGTAGGAACGCTGCGTTACTGTGTTACTAAAACCGTGATTTTTTTGCGAGAACGTCTCATGACAGTGACGTAAGCGAGTGCGACGTTCGTGACAACAGCTGTGTGCAGATCAACAATGGATCACATATCGACTGTGGGAGAGAGTATGAGCGTGCAGCGTTTAAAGTGTGGAAGTACTGACCTTACTTTGAGTTTGATTCCATAAAAAGTGACAAAAACATTAGCGTCCATCGTGCGTGGGAAGAAAACTTCTTTTTACAGCAAAAAACCCCCCTTAAACTTCCAAGCAAACACCGAGTGCGCTACGACGTAATGGGAAACTCACAGAGAAACTCGCGGATTCTTCCACTGACCGCTGTGGCACACCTGCACCAGGGTAAACCTCCGCCTACCCTACTCCTGCTTTACAGGTGAAAATAGAGCAACAGGACCGCTAGTCTTTGACTTTATTTATGTTCTGCTGTGTTTTACTTGCATCCATTTGAAAGACTGAGTGCAAACACAAAAAATATATATATTTTATGTGCTGGAATGTGCAGAAAATAGGTTTAAATGTTAAACTAATTTCTTCCAGTCAGAGAATGTTGCAGATAATTTAATTTTTGCTTGATGCATAAAGTTAAAAGATTAAAACTAATAAAACAAGTTTTAAAAAGAAACTTTTCCATTTGATTACATTTTGTATGATGGATTATGCAGAAAAAGTAGAATTGGGCTGAAAGATCTATCGCTTTATCACCTATTCAGGTTGTAAATCGTGTTTTTAAAAAGTAACTAAGTAACTAAGTAATTAATTACTTTTGAAAATAAGTAATCAGTAAAGTAATGGGATTACTTTTTGGGGGAAGTAATCAGTAATTAGTTACTGATTACTTTTTTCAAGTAACTTGACCAACACTGCCCTTGGACCACTGCTCTCTAGTTTTAAATCACTCCGTGCAGTTCCCATTTTGACCTCTTACATTTTGTCATGACCTCAAACGTGCAGACAGTAAATGGACCCAATACTGTGTTCATCAGAAATGAATATCTGAAAATGGACCTTTGACTTCATCTGTGTGACCAGAATGAAAGTCAAGTTGAAGGGCCAGCATTTTGGGCAAAGAGCAAAGAGGCATTCGGGGACTTCAGGGAGAAATCTAAAATCAGCAGCAGTGCTAAAAGTGGTCCAAGCAGAAATGAGAAGATGACTTTGAGAGGGAAGTCGTAAAAAAACCCCAAACCTTGGGCAACTGATGAGAGTTTTGCTCCAGTTTGGATCATCTGACCTCAGTTAAAAAACAGTCCCATCATTCTTAAACTTTCTCGCATGGAAAAATTGTTTCTTTTATATGATTTATATGATCCTTTCATCAGTCAGAAGAAAACGCTTGTAACAAACCAGTCTCAAAGGCCACCACAATCATCTCTTTCATAGATAGGCAGCCTGGATTTGCTTTTTTAACCATAATAAATCTGACTGATATTTCTTGGTCGGGCAGCAGGTTTGACTGATTGTAGGCAGGCACAACTTTAACATCATGACACGTTTGATTGGTGTGTCCATCTTTGATGGCATTAAATAGAAATGTGTTAAACTTTATTAATATGAGCAATGAATACAGAAGTATCATATATATATATATATCTAATGAACAGCAGTGTGTTTGAGAAACATGGTGTCTTCTATTCAAGTTCCCATCAGGTATTTGAGAAAAGAAGATGCAATTTTAAGAGCTGCACCACTAAATCATGATATTTCCTGTGTTGCTATTCCAGTGGTTGGTTGTGACTCATCGATTGTTATTTCGACTGAATGGCCCAGCGGCGCCGTGCAGGGGGGACGAACCCCAAAGCTCGCTGCCGATCACACTCGCTCAGCCTAGATGCAGAAGTCATCGATAGGAGCTGACGTCGGACGCCACGTACGCTCATCTCAGTCGCCAAGGGGAGCGGGAGGATGCGGCCGAATGGATTTGGATTGATTGACGTGCGCCGTGCTCAAGGTTACGGCGCGTGCACGGCACTTTCACCCGAGCGCGGCGAGATATTGAAAATCCTATCGCCCCACTCACCCTGCCTTTTCATTACAGGAGACACAATGACTTCCTTATCTGGTTCAGGGACTCGAACACAAAGGTCTACATGGGCTGAGAGACGGCGAGGGCGTGTGGGGAAACTAAACGAGGAAAATAAACAGCGCAGAATGTCCTTCAAACTTAAAACAACACCCGTGAAATTAAAAATTAGCTTCAATGATAAGGAGTCGTCTTTGTTTGGCTTCAGAGTTTTTGATAAAAGCCGAGGTTGTAAAGTTCACGCTTGAATGCCATTTGTTTGTTTGTTCCCGCAGGCCACGGTGGGAGTTTGTGTGGCAGCTTATCAGCAGGGAATCTTTCCAGTTCATTTTGGCTGAAAAGGAAAAGAAAAAGAGCATTTTATGATCGGAAAACAAGCAGGAGCAAAATCGAAAGCAGGAGGAGTAACTGTTGGCAGCAGAAGGACCAAAGTGACGCAAAACCTCTGCAGCAGCAACAAATCAAGCTGCCAACCAAACAGACGCCTCAGTTCTCTTCAGTTAGACCAGCCTCCGGTTTCTAGCAGGGGGAAGGAGCTAAAAAAGAGTCAATAATGAGCCTGTTTGTCTTGATATCATCAATAACACAGAGAAAAGGGTTAAAAATGCTCCAAAAATCCGATCAAATAAAGCAGCGCAGCCGGGTGAGGGAGATGTACTGAGAGTGTGTGTGAGTGTGTGTGCGTGAGTGTTAGACCACCAGGTAACGATCCATTTTTAGTGCCTCATGTCCCCGTTCTGTCCTTGCATGCACTTCAAGCCATCTATTACTGTTAATACATGTACACACACACACATGTGCACGCACACACACTCACACACGCCCGTGCGCGCTAGATGTCGATGCATTAGCTGTGATGCTAGCCGACCTCTGCCTGTCCTTCAGTGACGCTGCTAAACTATTACAGATGCTCTGCTTTATTCTGCCTGCCATGTGATTAATGTGGAGGGCGGAGGAACGTGAGGAGGAGACACAATGAGAGGAACGGCAGAGGGAGAAAGAAAAGGTGGAGTAATGACGAAAAGAAAGGAAGTCAGAGAAGGAGAACAACAAGGGACAAGGGGGGAAGACCTGCAGCCTGCAGACTTGGCGAAAAGAACTCACAAGGTTCCTGAAGGAACCCATCGAAGAACGCCTCCGCATGGACCAGGTGATTCATTACATTTATGCCTAATTATAAAAATGCCCTCCATTAACACACAAGCTCTGGGCCCGCGCAGTCCACGGATGGATGGATGGGCGGAGGAGAATTAAGGTTTGCCCTTTGGATTCTACAAAGGAGCCTCAAAGGATCCAGCTCATCTAATGTCTCTTCTCTGATACGGCCCAAAAATCGAATCCTAACATATTTACACACATACGAAATCTGGAAAGTTATGGACCGTGAGATGTTTGGTCTCTGCACCGCCACAAGTGCAGACTCTGCTTTAATCCCAGGGGGGCAAAAACAAATATGACATTGACCGTTAAAGCCAGTTCAAGGGTGGTCTTCTCTTCATAAATGAAGCAGATAACAAGTCTGCTCCAAACTCGGTGTAGTACCTACTCCAACTGTGGCAATTACATTTGCAAGCTGTTTGTGTAAACAAGTGCAAAGGAGCTCTCGGTGCAAGTGCATCCCTAACTTAATGTCCACCACTTCAGGTCAGGGTTAATATTTTAGCCTCATGCTAAACAAGGGAACACTAGGAGTGGCCTAACCATACTCCCGAGGCCAGCGTGGTGATAAAAATATAATCCTAATCAGGATGATCACTGGATCCTTTCTACAGCAAACCAATCATTGGCCAATGAGGCCATATTAGATTTTTTAAATACATCGAAAGACGTCAGACCAGCTCTGCAACTAAAACTAACATCAGCCTTTAAACGAACCACATGAAGAACATATTACAGAGAAAGCCGAGAAGGTCTCCCACGTGGAGGCAGCGTGATGTATGGCTTCCAGTGTGCCCGTGGTTTTTGTTGGATGACAGAAGCAGTGTAACAACACTCGCTGCTCAGGTTCCTGCGGGAAGTTTCGTTTTTGGGGAACTCTCCACAAAGTGTTAAGGATGAACACTTTCTGTATGATTTATGTTCCTGAAATCAGGGACTACATGGTAATTTCCTAGTGAATATTCTTTGTTCACCGCCTTGAACCGAAGCTGAGAGTCGGCACTCAGAGCTGGCTGAAGGTTCCCAGATTTGTATTGGTACTGGTGACAGAGAAGCTTGTGTGATTTTCTCAGCATCATCTTGTCCTTTTGTCACGTGAAATTTTATCATAATAACTGGACTCGTCTTTAATCTGTACCTGGTAGATGAACACTTTGCTGGATGAAACAGACGGGATAGTCGAGCAGAACAGAAACAATAGACAAGACTAGGGTCAGATAGAAAACAAGTACAGTTAAAGTTAAAGAAAATATG